CAGAGAGAGACAGAGCATGAACGGGGGAGGGTCAGAGAGAGGGAGACACAGAATCCAAAGCAGGCTCCAGGCTCTGAGCTGTCAACACAGAGCCCGACGCAGGGCTGGAACTCACTGACCGAGAGATCATGACCTAAGCCGAAGTTGGCTGCTTAACCAATTGAGCCACCCAGGTGCCCTGGAAGTCATTTTCTTTAAAACAGAGGTACCAAGCTATCTGGGATCAGAAGTTAGCAGCAAACAGGGCAATAGAAGTGAGTAAGTCAGGGCCCTGGTGTTTTCTAAAGCAGGAATCTTTGGCTCTTCTTCTAGGCTAGATTGTTGATGGGGGACCCCAGAGGGAGGTGTTCTTGGTGCTTCTGTATGGGTGTTCTTGTTTGGGGTGCGGGTATTCACAGGGGCTGACTGGAGGAAGCTGAAAGCTTTATCTCCCAGAATAGGGTGGGATTTAATAGGATGGGATTTAAGATGAGAGTTTTTGGCAGGAAGGCTCCCTTTTGACAAAACCAGAAGCCTTCTGCTGGATTAGGGAAGGGTTTACTTGAGATGGCGACGCCCTCAGCACAGAAGGACTTCCAGAACAACTTAAAAGAGACAATTTGGCGGGAAGCTGCAGAGATGAAAACATCAGAACAGGGATAGGACATTAACTCAGTTGCTCACTTAAAACCTATTCAGCCCTTGGGGCGCCTGGGTGGGTCAGTCGGTTAAGCCTCCGACTTTGGCTCAGGTCATGATCTCCTGCTCTGTGGGTTGGAGCCCCACATCGGGCTCTGTGCTGACAGCTCGGAGCCTGGAGCCTGCTTCAGATTCTGTCTCCCTCTCTCTCTGCCCCTCCCTGACTCACACTCTGTCTCTCTCACTCTCAAAAATAAATAAACAGTAAAAAAAACAAAAACAAAAAACAACTTATTCAGCCCTGAAATTCAATGTCAACAAATGTCCATTTCTAGTCCCATAATTCAGTCTCACAATAGGAAAAGGAAAAAGGAGGAGGAGAAGGAAGAGAGAGGAAAAAGAAAATTAAACTAGATTACAGGAAATTTTGCATCCAATATAATTTATAGGATTTACATTTTAATTATTTCTTCCTTAAAAAATGTCCAAAGTCACCACAATATCATTAACAAACATATAAAATTAACTGTTATTCCTCTTTCCAAAAGAGTTGTTACCAGAATAAACATGTTTATTTAAGTCTATTTCTTAGTACACCTCATAGTAAATGTTTTAAATTTGTTTTTAAACATCTATTTATTTTTTGAGAGACAGAGACAGACCATGAAGAACATGAGCAGGAGAGGGGCAGAGAGAGAGGAAGTCACAGAATCTGAAGCAGGATCCAAGCTCTGAGCTGTCAGCACAGAGCCCGATGCCAGACTCGAACTCACATACCACGAAATCATGACCTGAGCCAAAGTCGGATGCTTAACCAACTGAGCCACCCAGGCACCCCTCATAGTAGATTAAAAAAACATGATTATCTATATAATAAGAAATATATAACCCCAGCAACAATCAAATCTCACTTAAGAACTCGAAACGTTTGGGGCACCTGGGTGACTCAGTCGGTTAAGACTCTGACTTTGGCTCAGGTCATGATCTCACAGTTTTTGAGTTCAAGCCCTGCATTGGGCTCTGTGCTGACAGCTCAGAGCCTGGAGCCTGCTTCAGATTGTGTATTTCCTTCTCTCTCTGCCCCTCCCAAGCTTATGATATCTCTTTATCTCTCAATAAAAATAAATATTTTTAAAAAATCGAAAAGTTTTAGGGGGGATGCTTGGCTGGTTCAGTCAGTAGAACATGCGACTCTTGATCTTGGGGTTGTGAGTTCGAGCCCCACATTGGGTGTAAAGATCACTTTTAAAAAAATGTTTGTTAGTGACCACTGGTGATATTAAAAGTTGAATAAAGATTTTTTTTTTACTTCAAAAAGTTTTGGGATTACATATCCAAAGGGAAATGGCACTTATGTCCAACTAACTTTCTCATTTTTCTCCATTGCCATATTTTGATGGCTTATAATGAGGCACATTTGTGTCATTAGAGGCACTGAGACTCAGATGTGGAGGAAAGGCAGTGAGGACCCCTGGGGTCGCTGCAGGCATAGGATTTAAAGCAGCAGGACAGAATCCTTTCTTCACTCTTGTCAAAACCATTAATAAACAAAATGGGATGAAGAGTGATTGGCTGTCAGACGACACAGCTTGAAAATAATTTTCACTGAAAATGGCTGTGGCTGTGAGGGTGACGAGGACAGGTAATGATGCACTATAAATATCCGGAACTTTCTCACATGCACAGATACAATGTAGACTAGCAGTTCTCAAACTCTGTAGCCTCAGGAACCCTTTACAGAATTATTGCCGAGTCTAGAGATTTAATTTATGTAAGCTGTATTTACCAATATGTACCTTAGGAAAAATTAAAGCTGAGAAAAATTTTAAACATAAGAATACACAAGCTTGCATTCCCTTCATATCGTAACATCCCATATCATGTAGCCTCTGAAAAACTCCACTGTCTGCTCTTGAGACAATAGAGTCAAAAAGGCAAATATTGTTATAAAATAGTTTTGATTTCATGGACCCTCCTGAAAGGGTCTCAAGTACCCTCAGGACTCCCTGAACACATGTTGAGAACCACTGATATAGACCAAACCTATGAGTTTTTGAGTCTCCTAAACACCCCCCAGCTTGGGCTCATCAGAAAAAGAGGTAAAATGGATGAGCCCATGACTTCCCCACCCTTCTCCCACTAGAGACACATACTCAATTTTTTTTTTTTTTTACATTTTATGTATCAGGATTCTAGGTTCATCTTCCTTTAAATATAGAATTCCACACCAAAACATAAACAAACAAACAAAAACCAGTTTTTAAACCACTAATAGAATGTGTATTGTGGGGTATAGTGCATAATCAAAGAAAAAAATATGGTCTTCATTTGAAATATATAGATTGAGGACTGATGCATTAGGTTGTTAGAGCTGTGCAAGCATAGATTTCTTAGAAACTCCCCAAAAGTATGTCAAATGAAAAAAGTTCATGAAATACATATTAGCATAAAGAATGACTATTTTATAAGTTAATGTATTTTTTCAGAAGCTATTTACTGAACACCTACTACGTGCCTGTCTCTGGGCGAGGTACAGCATATATGCACTTTTTGATAATAAAAAAGTCAATGAGTGAGGGCACCTGCATGGCTTATTGGGTTAAGATCCAGACTCTTGATTCCGGCTCAGGTCATGATCTCATGGGTCTTGAGACTGAGCCCCGTGTCAGGCTGAGCTGACAGTGCAGAGCCCGCTTAGGATTTCTCTCTCTCTTCCTCTTGCTCTTGTCCCCCTCCCTCTCTCTCAAACTTAAAAACGTTTAAAAAATTCAATGAGTCATTTTGAAGATTTGTAAGGGCCGGAGGAAGGATGAAAGGAGTCATTCACAAAGACTCCACAGGGACACTGCCCTAAACTCTGGGGCTCCAGCTCTGAGGGACTTTTCAGAGAGGAAGCCTCCAGCTGGAAGCCTGAACACCCCCCACTGAAACACTGAGTTAGGGGGCAAATCTCAACTGCTCTGTGCTTCAGTTTCCTGAAGAACGCCTAATCGTGACTTCCTTTTAGTGTAAAGACGATGGAGCTGTCAATATGAAAAAGTCTTGGGATTAAAGCCTTCTGGTGATGGATTAAGACACAGGTAGTTTTTAATTTTTTGTTGAAGAATAACACACACACAGAAATGTGAACATAAGACTAGGAGCACCCAGATCAAGAGATAGACCATTAGAGAGCCCTCTCTGGCCCCCAGTGGTCACTTCCCACCCCAGGGAAACTGGTAAAATAGCATAGATTGACTTCCAACAACATAGATGACTTTGCTTTGTATGCAAGATACGCTCTTTTGAGTCTGGCTTCTTTAGCTCAACATTATGTTGTGAGACGTGCCCACACTGTTGGACATAGTTATAGACCATGCATTCTCAGTTCTATGGAACACTCCACTGCGTGAAGATGTCGTAATATAGGTCACATACATAGCCTTTTAGCCATAGAAAAGACCAGAGATTTTCTCTTATCCAGAATGAGGGATCCACACACGAAGAAGAAGGAGGAGGAGGAGGGAGGGAGGAGGAGGAGGAGGGATCCACAGATGAAGTTCACCATCTCTTTTCTTTTTTTCTTTAGAAAAGAATTAAATGTTTATTTATTTTTGAGAGAGAGAGAGAGAACAAGCAGGGGAGGGGCAGAAAAAGGGAGACACAGGATCCAAAGTGGGCTCTGCGCTGATAGCAGTCAGCCTGGTGTGGGGCTCGATCGCACGAACAGTGAGATCATGACCTGAACCGAAGTTGGATGCTTATCTGAGCCACCCAGGTGCCCCTCACGATCTCCTTTCTATTTGAAATTGATCTGATCAAAGGAATTTTTGGTTTTCCTTCCATGTCAAGATTAGAGATGGCATTAGCAATTTTGACCAGGAGTTAGGGAAAGGAGAAGGGGGTTAATATTTTGGCAGCTGGCTCCAGGGGACTCTCTACCTAATTCCAAAGGAAACTGGTAGCGACCATTTCTCAAAAGCAGCAGCATGTCTGGAGCTTCTGGGAGGAATAGCATCCTGCACCCAGAGGATGCCAGTCAATGTGTGGTAACTGATGAACAGAGTAGATGGTGGGTGGGAGGGGAGACAGCACCCAAACAGGATACAAAATAAGGGCACCTGAAATCACCACTTTACAAAATAAAATTATGTTTATTACAGAATAACACAATTTCTTGTTCACACATCCCACCTGTGACATTAATCAGAGCCTTCACCTAAGAGCCATATGTCATCTTTTCCACCCCTACTAGTTTGTAGATTTTTTTTTTTTTAACTTTGAAGTGGAAGAAGAAGAAAAAGAACCAGAGCTGCCCTAAAAGGAATGAGGAAGTGAGAGCTCTCCAGTGTCTGGCTGGCTATGTCTGTGTGACAACCCATGATGTTCTTTCCGGTCTCAGTAATATTCTAAATTTCCACCTGCCCGCCCCCTCTCGTTTATAATGCAGGACACGTGAAGCCGGTCATTCAGTCTTGCCCTCTCAACCAGTGGATTAGTAGGAGCAGAGTGAAATGCTGTTTCTCCCATTTTTCACAGTCCCCCGGAGATAAGACAAGTCTGGCTGGAGACCCTCTGAGGGTGAGTACCATAAATTCACATCACTAGAGAATAAGGGAGCTAGCAAATCGCAGGTGTCTAAGAGCACCTCCAACAGAAAACAGCTGTACCACAAACACACAACATGTCATGTTACAAAGACGCTGAACGCGCAAAGCTTGGCTTCAGTGTGAAGCCTGAACTTCTTTGGCATGGGAGTTCCGGAAAGGTTAACTTTGTTTTGTGTTTACTACAAGTAGCATCTTGGGAATAAGTTTTTGACCCTGGGGGTTAGATGAGATCATCCGTGCAGAGCACGCAATACAGTGCCTGACACACAGTGAGCTCTACCCGCTGCCAAAAAAAGAGGGTATATAATTATTATGTAATTATTTGTCAGATTATTTCTTGATGGGAATGGAATAAGTGAATAAGTGTGGCGTGGTAAAGGTATCAGGTTTAAATAATATAGAAATAAGTGTGTTCAGGTGCTGTCCTTAACAGCCTAAGATATCTAGTAACATACACACAGACTTTAAATGAAAACTTTTCTACCTAACGGTTTCAAACTTTGTGTTTTGGCACTGAAATCGGCCAACTTATTATGCGTCTCCCTCCTCACTCTTTCTCACGTGATTTCTCACAGGCAGAGCCAAGGACACACGGAGGGAAATTCATCGCTGGACAGTCAGCACAGACTCTAATGAAGTTGATAAGCAGTTGCAATGCCGTACGTCCCCCTCTTACATTTACTAATTCCGGTTTTCCAGAAGTAAGAGTCAAAAGATCTGTACCTAATTTTGGTTTTCTCTTTTAGGCAAAAACACTAAATGCCAATAACATGGAGACATTGATTGAATGTCAGTCAGAGGTAAGAAAGCAATTTTAAACACTTTTTATCTGCACTGTGAGAATGTGGAACACTGTGTTTTAATGGAATATTGTTTGGATTATTTAATTACCAGAGTAGAAAATTAACATCATTCGTGCAGTACATTAAATACATTAATTGGGACCTTATAGGATGATAATCAATTGTTAATTCTAGAAGCTAGAAAAAATCAGTGGACTCTATTGACTAATTCCTAATATGAATAAAATGTTGTATGTGTATTTTGTGGGGCAAGACTGGGTAGATCTCTTCAGTCATTTTTAACTAAAACAAATATATTTTTAGGGTGATATCAAGGAACATCCTCTGTTGGCATCATCTGAGGGTGAAAATAATATTTGCCAGCTAATTGGTGAGTTTTGAAAACATACTGATCTTTTATGTAAGTGCTAACAACAAATGTTCTTGGTTTGCAAAACCACAGTACTTTACTAGGAATTTTTTTTTTATAAATGTTCTTTTAAAGACCGCAGAACATTAACACTTAGATGGCAGGCAGGCTCCAGCTCACCACAGCATCAGGGCACTCTGACAGACAAGATCCTCTCTAGAGCCAACCCCCCAGCTCTTCAAGGGGTTTTTCGTGGGGTCAGATCTCCTAGGCGCTTCTGTTTTAACAATTACAGCATGCATACATATGAAAAAGAGACCGTTCCTTTTCCCTTTTCTTCCTTCTCTAGCCATCCCCTTCCACTTGCCAGTGTAGAAACATATGGCAATGCATTTGGAAAATACAGCTTTTATATTTAGAGGAAAACAAGAGAAAGAAGGAGACAGAAAAGAGAGACAGAAGGAAACTTGTGAGGTGCGATACCCGTTGCATACACATCTTCAGGATTTTGCAAAGATAGAACATCGTGCTAATGTTTTACTGATAGTTCCCAACTGCCAGGTCTAGGTTCAAGCCTTCCTGGCAATTTGTGCCAGCGCTGTCCCAAAGCAGCCGCCAGGGACATCCTAAAGGGGACTGCAGACAGCCTGTTGTAGCTCCCCCTAGTGGCTAAGTGGCTGCAGAGGTTTACCCGCCAGCCCAGCTAAGTGTCTTCAAAATGATCTTGAACAAGGTTCCACTCTTTTTTTATGGCTCGGTGATATTCCGCTGTATTTATAAACCACATCTTTATCCATTCATCTATCACTGGACACTTGGTTTGCTTCCATATCTTGGCTGTTGTAAATAATGCTGCAATAAACACAGGGGTGCGTAGATCTTTTTGAATTAGTATTTTTGTTTGGGTAAAACCTAGCAGTAAAATCACTGGCTCATAAGGTATTTCTATTTTAATTTTTTGAGGAAACTCCATACTGTTTCCCATTGTGGCTGAAATTAACGTAACATTCTACTGTCAACTATACTTCAGTTTAAAAAAAAAAAAAGATCTTAAGCAAGTCACTTCCTCTCCTTCTAAGTTTTGTTTTTTTCCACCAATGAAGAAAATTAAAATAATCTATTTCACATCAGAAATGCCCACCATAGTTATTAAGGTCAATATATTAAGATGGTTGTTTGTGATCTGCTTGGCTAGGTTTTGCTGATTTTTTGTAGCAAACAGCCAGTGAAGGGTAAAAACAGGAAAGGTGGAGACTTTGAGGAACCTTGGTGTTGATGTTTAGGGGCTGGTTGCTCTGGTGACAATGTGGTTGCTTTTTCGGTTGATTTTTCTCGATTAAAATTCACGCCCTTTGCTTTCTCAGTTTTTCAAAATTATTCCTTCCCCCCCCCCCATGACATACCACAGATGACATTAAGTGGCTGATGATATCCATTGTCTTATATGGGTCTTTATTTATTAATAAGTTAAATTTAATTTTTCTCTTTGCCTTGTTTTCCTGGCTGTAGAAATTAAGAAGAGAAAAAAGGTGCTGTCTTGGCCTTTTCTCATGAGAAGGCTTTCTCCTATGTCAGATTTTCCTGGGGCTTCAGAACCAGAACTGAAAACGCCACTATTTGATCAGCCCTTGTCAATCATCTGTGGTGAGGACGACATACTCCCCAGACCCATCCAGGTAGGTGTGCATTTACTTGTAACCTACATCAGGTTTTTGTTGGATGTGAAAGATTCTTGGGAGCTCTAAATATCATTCTCATGCTAATCTTGCTGGGGCCAGTATTTAGTTTTTTCCACTTTTGGAAATGGTGTTTCCACATATGAGTACAGTCAGGAGAGTACCTGGCTGCTTACACTCTAGAAATTAGCTCTACTTGCCCTCCATCCTTCCATCCTCATGATCTCATGGAGTTGAGAATGCTTAAAATGTGTAGCTTCTGAAAAGTCAACAGAGATGGGGTCTAAAGTGTATGATCAAAAATCCAGTGTTTATATGGAATGACTTGAAAGGAGGGAGGCCTGGAATAATTTTAGAATGTAAAAAATTAGAGCTTTCACCATTTACCTCCTCTTAGAAAAATAGCAGAGTTGAGGGAGACAGTTGATAGCAATGGGGCTATAAAGAAAAACTGGCATTAGAGGTCTCTTGTTAACACCATCTCGGTATCATGAAGAACTAACTTTTATGGAGAAGATATTCTAGGACAGGTGAAGTTTGCTACTGTTCACATGCACCATTTTAATTCTTTCTCTTACCTAAACATAGATTTTTCATGTATTAGTAGCAGCATATGGTTTCATGCATTCAAACTAAGGGTAATCATTTCCTATTCCTACCCCTCTTTCCTATAGGATATTCTCACTATTCTGTGCCTTAAAGGACCTTCTACTGAAGGGATATTCAGGAAAGCGGCCAATGAGAAAGCCCGCAAAGAGCTAAAGGAAGAGCTCAACTCTGGAGGCGTGGTGGATCTGAAAAGTCTCCCTGTGCACCTTCTGGCTGTGGTCTTTAAGGTGAGTTCACAACATTGCTGCCAAATCATCTGCAGGTGGCTCTGACACATTAATTTTCAGAAAATAAGAAATGGGCTCTTCTCCCTACAAATCAAAGTAAACTGATCCTGGAGTTTAAGTTTTTTTGGCTAAGCCTTTTATTTTCTTATATAAACATCTGTTTCTATGATCCCAGATTCCAACAGAAGGCGATACATTAAATTCTCCCCAAATCCTGATGAGAAAAGGCACTTAGACTGTCCCATGGCCAAGTCTGTGCCCCTGAATCTGGCTGCCCCTCAGATGATGGCCTTACTGTGTGTGCGCGTTGTTAGGAAGTTGATGAGAGAGATTTCCCTAGAGTATTCAAATGCAAGAAGGAAGGGGGCGCAGCCTGTGTTAAGATGATCAGAGGGTCTCTGAGACAGACCAGACAAGGGGACGATGAAGATGCCAGCACATAATGTAACATAAACAGGACAAACCATCCCCTTTCATCCTCCAGGACTTCCTCAGAAGTATCCCACTGAAGCTACTTTCATGTGACCTGTTTGAGGACTGGATGGACGCCCTGGAGAGGCAGAATGAGGAGGACAGAATTGAGGCCCTGAAACAGTAAGTTGCCAGAGTCCTTGCCAGAGGCCAGGACCACATGGTCTCCATTTTTTGATTCTTCACATAATTCTCTGAGTGTTTCATGAAAATTGAAGTGTTTAGGGAATCAGAATGGAATTGTCTATCTACTCCCAGAATAAAAATCACAAGGTACTTTGGAGACTCCTTTTAAAGTGGTTTTAGCCAAATGAAAGGAAGCTCTTTTTCAAAGAGTGGAAAGTGCAAATCCCAAGAGGTGGGGGGTCTAAAAACGTAAGTTGTTCAAGAAGGAATGGGGCAAAATCTTAGGTGAAACCCTGAAAACACGCTAAATAGCCAAGTGTAGGAATTTGGGGTTATTCTTAACCTAATAAATGGGTGTCAGGCAAGGCAACAATTCTCCCATAAAAACATCCCCTAAGGCATAGTAGAACATAGGAAGGGAATGTTTTGATCACAAAATTCCACAGCATGTTTCATATTCGTATAATTAATCAAAATGAAAACTATATAAAAACAAATTCCAAAGACAACAAAAACAATTACATTCGTAAATGAAACTGTAACCTGTTAGTGACTAGACAATCTTAAACACCTAACTTTGAAATATCAGCTCTTTCGCCGAATGCTATGAAAGCCTATTTATTATGATTGTCCCAGGCGGCTAAATATTTCCAGGGAAATAGTTATTGAATTGAAGGTGTTAAGAGTATCTGTCCCAAATTGAAAATCCTAATATTATTAGAAGTTTCCCCTTAAAGACATAAGCTCTTTCAAATAGTAACTTCTTATGAGAAATGAAAATGGTCCCTACTTAGTCACCATTGCTTATTTTGAAAAAATGAGGCTTTATAAATCTAATTATTGTTAGTACTGATGTTGCCATTTAAGTGCTACCTTGACCATGTTTATGAACATGCCCTTATAAACTGATTTATGCTCCATAAAGGTTTCTCAGAATGGTATAAAAATGGGTCATCTTTGTGTGATGATCACAGATCAAAAAAAGTAAATGACTGTGTTCCAAAAACACCAGTCTTGCAGTGCTAGAAAGACATTCTGCCTGGCTAAATGATTACTCAACAAAACAATTTTCAAAATGTATTAAACTATGGGGTTTGTCGCAGAAGTTAAGGATTCCTAATTTGAGATCAATACAAATAATAAAGGGTTGTGTTATTGGTGTCCTTCCTAATTATAAAGACCAGTGTCTTAGGTCTTTAGGATCTCATGGTTAACCAGTTTCATGCCACGTCTGTTACCACTGGAAGTGTCTGAATAAACATTTCACAATCTTACTGTGAAAATGCACCTTCTTCATTTTAAAAGAAGTCTGGGTTAGGCAGAAACTTTCAACTTGAGATACTAAAGGGAGATAGACCATTAGCCTCCTCTAAAACCAGCCTCCCTGAACTTCATTCCAGGGTTGCAGATAAGCTCCCCCGGCCCAACCTCCTGCTGCTCAAACACCTGGTCTCCGTGCTCTACCTCATCAGCAAGAACTCAGAGATCAGTAAGATGGATGCCAGCAATCTAGCTATCTGCATTGGACCCAACGTGCTGACCCGAGAGAATGACCAACACCTGTCATTCGAAGCCCAGAAAGACTTAAACAACAAGGTTTGTTCTGGTCTATTTCTGACAAACTCCCAATTTGATCTCACTGTTTGTTTGAAAACACCAAGTGATAATAAAAAGGAATGGAGGAGGCTTCTGAGTCGCTCAGTTGGTTAAGCATCCGACTCTTGGTTTTGGCTCAGGTCATGATGTCACAGTTCATGGGATCGAGCCCCATGTCGGGCTCTGTGCTGGCAGTGTGGAGCCTGCTTGGGAATCTGTCTCTCCCTCTCTCTGGCCCTCCCTCACTCACCTGTGCACACAACAAGTTCTCTCTCTCAAAAATAAGTAAATTATTAAAAAAGAGGGGGGGGAGGGAGAGGAAGGAAGGAGGGAAGGAAGGAAGGAAGACCCAAGTGTAAAATGCCTCTAAGTTTCTCTGACTCAAGGTCAAGTGAAATATGAAATACAAAATGCTTTTGTCATAGTTCTGCCCTCTTAGACTCATGCATTTGATGAAACAGAACAAACCTCTTGTCTCACAGGACTTGTGTATCACGCGCCATCAGTCCAACTATCAGTTTGGGAAACTCCTTATGTAGATAAAAATTACTTGAAAGGAAGAGGGTTTTTTAAATCTCAAAAAAAATGTGTGTCTCAAAGATAACTTTAATATATATGATTTTTACCAATTTTCCACATGCTCTTCTCAAACACATAAAGATCCCTTACGCTTATTTTGGCACCTCCCTATCAGTTGGCCCCCATCATATCCCCATTATTTCTCCTCTTTCTTTAAAAAAATTAAAGATAGCTTTAGGCTGACAACTTGTTTATTTTTCCTCACAGGTTAAGACATTGGTGGAATTCCTCATCGATAACTGCTTGGAAATATTTGGGGAGAACATTCCGGCACATTCCAGTACTGCTTCTGATGACTCCCTGGAACACACTGACAGTTCAGGTACAAAATGTGTTCTCGATTGATGATGACTGTGGGGGAAAGTTCATGCCAGTCTGCCAGTCCATGCCGGTAATGTAAAATATATCTGGTATTTGAAGCGACAGCTACCTACACAAATCACCAAATCAAACTCATAGGACACCATTCACACGGACACCTGTTCTCAAATTTCCGTGCAGTGCCTCCTCACTCAGCTGACACTCGTTCAGCTTCTTTCAGAATCACAAAAACCTTCTAATTTTTCTAAGTTAACTTCAGCTAGAGGGCTGTTTCCATGTAATGGGCTATGGGTCCATTAAAATGGAATGGATCCAATGAAAGAGCCATCCAAAGGATTAATTTTTTAATTTAAGATCAACAAATTTTCATTGAAATGTTTTCTCTCTTTTCTCATTCTATTTCCTTTATCTGCTTCTCTTCTGCACCTCAAACTAGGAAAGAAACAAAATTTTAATGTGGCAAATTTCATATCAAGCCCCAAAGTAGCTTCACCAGATTACCCAGGGCCATACTTGATATAAGTAGGGGGAATTGTACTAAAGTTTATTTCTCAGAGAAACTGAACCAGAAACTCAACTGTCCCTTAACTTCCCCCAGACATGTCAACGCTGCAGAATGACTCAGCTTATGACAGCAATGATCCTGACGTGGACTCCGGTGGTGCCACTGGCTCCCCAAATAGGCGACCCCCAGTACCTGTGGAGACAACTGCTGGCTGGGGGCCCAGAGGCCCCCAGCTCACTTGGGAGTTGGGTCCGGAGCCCATCAGCAGCACTCTTGCCAGGCTGAAAAACTCCCTGAGTGAACTAGACAGGAGGTACTCAGAGCCCAGCCCGTCATCCTCACAGGAGAGCCTCGAGAGCCAGAAAACACACCAAAAACTAACACGAAGCGAGGAGGACGTCGCCATGGCCCAGGCAGGGGCTCATTTGGAAAGTAAGGAAACTGAAGACCCCTTTCCAGAGGAGGTGTTTCCTGCAGTGGAAGGCAAAGCCCAGAGACCACAGGACCTGAAGGTGAAGAACTCGACTCAGGGTTCAGTGTTACTGTGGGGACTAGCGCCCAAAGCCTCCTCCAGTGGCTCTCTGGATGCTTCCTCTGATGGTTCACCCGTGGCTTCTCCTTCCAGTCCCAAAAGAAATTTCTTCACCAGACATCAGTCTTTCACAAAGACAGAGAAGAGTAAGCCCAACAGAGAAATTAAAAAACACTCCATGTCATTCTCCTTTGCCTCTCACAAAAGAGTGCTGACCAAAGCCCCCAGCTGCGTGTCTGTAAAATCCAAAGGCTTTACCAGAGACCAAGTAAAGAAAGGTTTTAAAAAAGAAAGCCAGCTTTCTGGGCGGATCATCCAGGAAAACTTGTCTGAAATCCAGGGCCAAACTGCTCTAGACTGTAGCTCCACATCCTATGCCCTCTCTGTCAGGGATGTGTTCCAACAAGTGGATCAGAGAAGCCCAGGTAGTCCGCCATCTTACGAAGAGGCCATTCGGCGCCAGGCATTGGACCTCTCGGCCTACAGGGGCCAAACAGTCGGGAGCATGAGGGCCAGAATGCTCAGCCAGGATGCTGAACCTCTCCGACCTTTTCATCACGGAGGGAATTTAAGAAATACATGCAGTCAAGAGCTGCTTGACAGGCACAGACTATCTCCCAGGACTGAGAGCTGGAGACAGAGCCAGACTGTACATGTTTCTGTAGAAACAATAGGACACGTGACCGTCACAGGGAGACCTGACCTGCACCGGCCAAGAACTGTATCTGAGTCAAAACAGAAGACTAAGCTGGACCATCTAGTGCGGCAATGTAGTCAGCCGGTCTTTAAGGCTGACCAACTCCAGTATGCTAAAGAATCCTACATTTAGGACGGCAGACCAGACACCATGACATGGCTTATGGCGTCTCTGTAAATGCACAACTGTATAAAGAACTGCTTTGAACTCTGTTTTCCAAAAAGTCGAGAATAAGCTCTTTTAGAAAGGTTGTACAGAGGCCTCCCTAGAGGGGATAGCCACGCAATGGGACTCAGGCAGTGTCTGTGTGTGCCCAAATTCATGCAACATGTAGCAAGTGTATAAAATGTATTAGAGACAAGGTGTTAGGTGCAAAGATGTCTACATGAGTATGTGTGTATTTGTGAACTTGTAGTCAACTGCACTGCTGTTCTCTGCCTCCTGGGGCAGTATTTTGAACACTATTAGTGTTCAAAAATAATTTTTTTCCTTTCTTTGTTGCCTCAAATGTCATCCCATTTTTCATATTTTCCACAAACTCCATTTAGGGAAAATGTTTAAATCTCTGTTAGAAGTTTCCTCCAGTAAACAGCTTTGTGATAATTACCCACAACGGTAAGAAAAAAGGAGCAGACTGCAAGAACAGACTTCAGTGTTTGGAGTTATATCGAAGGCATTACAAACTCCAGTGAATGAAAAGGCCATCATTAACATTTATGAAAAATAGTGAAATGTGTTCTTTTAATCCTCTCATTCTCAATTTGGGTAGATTAGCACAAATGCATTACATCAATATTAACTGATTTATAGCACTTTGAGTTTCTCTGCGGCTCAGCAATGCCTTCTCCAACAGTGTGCAGGAAACTTTATATGCATGATATGCATTGGGGATCATATATAGAACTTCAGTATAATCTCACTACAATAAATTGCCTTCCTTGTTTCAAAGTAAACATTTTCATTCTTTACTGATGTGTTGCCTTCTCTTCCTTGGTTCATAGAAACCCACTAAGAGGGGCGCCTGGGTGGCGCAGTCGGTTAAGCGTCCGACTTCAGCCAGGTCACGATCTCGCGGTCCGTGAGTTCGAGCCCCGCGTCGGGCTCTGGGCTGATGGCTCAGAGCCTGGAGCCTGTTTCCGATTCTGTGTCTCCCTCTCTCTCTGCCCCTCCCCTGTTCATGCTCTGTCTCTTTCTGTCCCAAAAATAAATAAACGTTGAAAAAAAAAATTAAAAAAAAAAAAAAAGAAACCCACTAAGAAAAGCACTCACACATTGGTCCATTCAACAAGCATCTACTGAATGTATATCCATTATTCTAGATTAATAGGCAGGCTGAGGATCTTGTCTTTAGAAAGAAAAGATAATTCCTATTCTTTGGTAGTTTGCAAAACCATAAAAATATACCTACTCGAAGCCATTTTCTCAATAGTCACTCAGAGACCAGAAAATTTAGTATGCAAATACAGGGTAATAAAACCAATATAATATTTCCTGGTTTTAGTGAATGAAACTCTTCATTACCTTCACAAACCTTGTTTTTATGATGCTCAGCTCGCTTATTCACAAACATAATGGTAAAAATATTTGTCATATGTTAGAACTTTAATGCTCAATGATTAAGATATTTATCCAGTACATTGGAGATACTGGACTTCTATTTTCCTTATTTCATCAACTTCTTTCATAAAACACTGTGTGTTTTTTATTTGTTCAAAGAATATTTTTATGTTGGCCAACCACCAGATGGCAAAGGCCTATTATTATTTTCAGAGGAGATTTATTGATAATGTGGTACAAGGTTAAAAATGTAACCCAGATTGCTCAAGGGAGCATGCTCAGACTTCATGAGAAATACTTTATTAAGCACACTAAAAATGTATAAGTTTCAAGAGGTTGACACTCCCCTCTGACCACTAACTTCACAAGAGCAATCCTTTTCCAGAGTTGGACACAAATGACAGTTACAAGTTTTAGCGTCTACCATGTGCCAAGCACTGTTTTAAGTATTTCAGGGCTAAAACAAGAATAACAACTTCCTACTGACAATCAGAATTCTCATCAGTAAAAAACTAAAACTAGGAAGCCTCCCATCTATTCCACTTTACCACTGACCTGACCTCTGTTGACCCAACTCATATCACCAAAATTTTGTCTTAAATTTCTTTATTTTAAAAAAGGTGGCGTGAGACTGGAAGCCATCTACCTATTGCACATAACTAGTACAGTTTGTGGCAAACATTTATGAGCTTCCTGCAGTTGAGCAAATGTCATGATTGTTGCTATCTTTGAATAGTGGAGAAAAAGGTATATATTGCAGAGTGGTCTTCCCACATCCATCCATGGAGACCACTGGCTTCTAGCATTGCCCAACCCCAGTTGCCAAGCCCATCAGTTGCCTAGGGCTACCATAACAAAGTATCACAAACAAGGACTGTAAGCTACAGAAACGTATCATCTCATAGTTCTGGAGGCTAGAACTGAAATCTAGGTGTTGGCGGGTTGGCTCCTTACGAGGGTCACAAGGGAAGGATCTTTCCCAGGCTTCTCTGCTTGCTTGTACATGGCCATAACTCTGTATCTCTACATTGTCTTCCCTCTATGTGTGTCTGTCCTCAGATTTCCCTTTCATGAGGGACACCACCAGCCATATTGGATTAGGACCCATTCTAATGATCATTTTACCTCTTTGTAGTCACATTCTGAGATCCTATAAGTTAAGATTTCTACAAATGAATGGGGGGGGGCACACAATGCAACCCCTCCATCAAGCTTCACAGAATACTACTTAATGATACCTTGATTATGCTGACAATTTTTAATACTTCACCATAACCAAAGGACCCAAGCTTATGGTGAGATTTGGATACTATTAGAATGATGCTTGGGGCACCTGGGTGGCTCAGTCAGTTAAACATCTGACTTTGGCTCAGGTCACGATCTTGCAGTACCTGAGTTCAAGCCCCGTGTTGGGCTCTGTGCTGATAGCTCAGGGCCTGGAGCCTGCTTTAGATTCTGTGTCTCCCTCTCTCTCTCTGCCCCTCCTCCATTCACATTCTCCCTCTCTCTCTCTCTCAAAATTTAAAAAAAAAAAAAATGATGCTTTAGTGAAGGAATCAGAAGACCCAAGCTTATGGTGCGATTGGAAAATGTTAAAATGATGCTTTAGTGAAGGACCCAGGAACGCCAAAGTTCTGTCCTCCATGAACTTCCTAAGGGCCACACAATCACAAATGGGACTATTGCAAATGTGCCTGACACCCCGGTGTAAGGTCTATGGTAAAAGCAGGTTGGAAGTCAAGGGCTAAATAGGGGCTTCTACCTAAATCCAGGTCTGATCTCTAGCCTCTGAGCCACAGCCACTGGGTCTCCCCAGCATCCATGCATCACCTGCCTGGACCTAGCTTAAGAGGGACCCTGACCCTCTTACCAAGTGAGAGACAAGGAAGCATGTAAAGTTAATGTGCCCACTGGTGAATAATATGCAGCCTTCACCGCCCTGGAATCTGGCTGTACAGACTAGAATTTCTTCCTCTCAGGGAAGATAGGTAGTTTCCTCTCTTATAAGGAGGGAGAGAAATGGGTTCCAGATGCCATTGCCAGCCTCCCACATGACACATTGTGACCACCCCTGCCCAGTGGTCCACAAATGTTGACTTGTGGATGTTAACCAAGGCTAGATGCTCATACTGGAGCTCAGCCAAACTCCAATCACCTCAGAGCCTAGCAAATACAATGCTTGTGCTACATGGGGTCCCCGTGCAGGGAAGTGGCAGCCGTGGCTTGTACGTTAATAAAAGAAATAGTAGTTAATGGCCAAAATGCTTTCCATGACCATAGATGAGAACATCCAAGGGCAATAAACACTATTTATCCTAATGCACTGTTAATGGAATAAACTCTAGCTGCATTTTCCTGATTGTGATCTCACTGGAAGGATCGCCAGTACATGCCTTCCTCCTGAAGGGTCAAGTAGACAGAAACCCACATCAGATAGGATCTCACATGTTTTGAGTTTCTTTTTTAATTGAATTATGTAAGATCTTAACTCCTTATCTGCAAAAGCAGAACCACTGAGGAAGAAACTATAAACATTTTGCTAGAGATGGAAGTGAATCACTTTTTGGCCATATTTGAAATGTGGACAGAGATTCTGCATCTTGTCAACTTCGGGGTACAAATTAAATGTGAAGGGGGAAAAACCACTGGGATAAAGTGCTGCCCTCCTCCTACTATAGAGGGCCCCTACAAAGAGGGGCCCCTGGGAGACCAGCAAACCTGCAGAGTGCAAAGTCTTGCCGGAAAAAGGAAATGCAGAATGATAACATCTCTGTAGGCAAGGAAAGACACTGTGTTGGCATAATAGTACAAGACCCAGTTCGCAGGGCCTGTGTCCACACCCCAAATGTGCCCCCAGGACCAGGTACTAAACTTGTCTGAGCATCCATTTCCTCATCTGTAAAACGAGGATAATCACAACAGCGCATCAGTTGTGGGATGCACGTAACAGAAAACCCAGATAACAGAGGCTTAAACAAGAAGGGGAATGTGCTCTCCATTAAAAGAAAAGCAGATGGGCAGCCCAGGGCTGACAGGGAAGCTCCAGGACATCCCATGTCCCCGGGTTCCTTCAAACCAGGGCCAGCATCATAGGCACGGGACCTGTGTTGTCTCAGAGCCCCACGCTAAGAAGGGCCCAGCACTGGGGTTCATTGCTCTGCTTGTTGGCATTTTTTTCATTATTAGTAACTCTTGAATAAGGGCCCCCCATTTTCATTTCGTGCTGCCCCCTGCAAATTAGGTAGCTCACCTTGTTCACACTTTGTGGTTTTCTAATCCACCATCATTTCTGTGAGCAAGATCCTCCTCCTCCAGCCTTGAACTTTCTTGCTCAGTTAACTTCTATCTACATCCCAGAAGCCAGAAGTTATTCCCATGGCTACTCTCACCTGCAGAGGAGTCTTGGAAATAAGTTTCTCATAGGCACTCTGCCTTTCCCAACAAAATCAGTAGGATTTTAGCCTAAATCAGTAGGAACTATTAGCTCTTGATACAAAAATCAAAAGAGATCGTGGATATGGTAAAACACATACAATTAGTTGCTCTAACATAGAAAGCAGGATAAAGCACAGATTATTTAGTATAATGAGACAAACCTCAAAATGAAAATGTTGAATATGATTAGGGATAAATAAAGACAAGGCAGATAATTTTGGAGTACTTCAATCATTCATATGCACATTGTGAGAGTACTCATATGAGAAGTTTTAAGTAAAATGAATTACGAACAAAATTTCAAATTAAAATTTCAGACATATTGTATATAAGAAATTCACAAGCTAGTAGAGAAATAAGACAGCCTTGAAGGTAAGGTACATTCCAAATGAGAAATGACATAAAGTGCTATAGGAGAAATGATTGTTTCATGGTCCAATTAGTTTTAGGATATACTTCAAACTTTTTTTAATGTTTTATTTACTTTTTGAGAGAGAGAGAGAGACAGACAGACAGACTGTGAGTGGGGAGTGGGCAGAGAGAGGTGGGGACAGAAGATTTGAAGCAAGCTCTGCACTGACAGGTTGACAGCAGTGAGCCCAAGGCGGGGCTTGAACTCACAAACCATGAGATCATGACCTGAGCCAAAGTCAGACACTCAACCGACCTTGCCACCCAGGTGTGCCAGGATATACTTCATATTTAAAAGTGCTTCCTATATCAGATTCCAGAGCAGTAATGAAAGATTTCAGCCAAGCGTATGACATTTAAAATAATCATGAGAGTTTCCAGGAAGCTATTCATTTATGTGATTAGAGCACATCACTGTTGAAAAGGAAATTGACAACTTCTTTTTTTCCCATCCTCGTCGAAAAAGGCATTTCCTATACAAAATGGTTTTGGAAAAGACAAAGTACTATGTAATATAACTGCTAATATGTGGGATGTTCATCTTTTCAAAACAACACTTACATCT